GGAGCGAAGATTGAAGACTGAAGACTGAAGAGGCTTCACTCGAGTCCGCCATGGAAATGTAGAGGACAATCTTGTATCCCGCAGACCAAAGGGCCCAACCGCCTCCCTGCGGGAGTGAAGACTGAAGACTGAAGAGGCTTGGCTTCTCTGCTGCGGCCGGACCAAAGGCCTGGGTCCTGGGTGCTGGAGGAAAACCGGTGCTGGCAGCCAGGGGAAGGAAGGCCTATTGCGCGAATCTTTGTGCAATGGGCTTCTAATATATATATACACACATACATATACATACATATACATATATATGTATATGTATATCCTCAAGGAAGGGGAACAAAGGAAAAATAAACAAATAGGACAATATCAAACTAAAAAGCTTTTACACAGCAAATGAAACTATCAAAAAAATGAAAAGACAACCTACTGAATGAGAGAAGATATTCATGAATGATACATCCAATAAGAGGTTAATATCCAAACATATAAAATGCTTATATAAGTTTACACCAAAAAAAACACCCCAATCCAATAAAAATACGGGCAGAGGACCTGAATAGACATTTCTTCAAAGAGGGAGTACAGATGACCAACAGACATATGTAAAGACGCTCAATATCACTAACATCAGGGAAATGCACATCAAAAACACAATGAGATAACATCTCACACTTGTCATAATTGTTATCAATAAATCAACAAATAACTAGGGCTGGAAAGGATGTGTAGAAAAGGGGACACTCATGCATTGTTGGTGGGAATGTAAATTAGTGCAGACACTATGGGAAACAGATGGAGATGACTCAAAAAATTAAGAATAGAGCTGTCACATGATCCAGTAATTCCATTTCTGGATATTTATCCAAAGAAAACAGAAACACTAATTTGAAAAGATATGAACTCCTATGTTTATTGCAGCATTACTAGTAATAGCCAGGGTACGGAAACAACCTAGATGTCTACCAACAGATGAATGGATAAAGAAGATATGATATATATATACAATGGACTATTACTTAGCAACTAGTGGCCCGGTGCACGAATTCATGAACATTGAAAGGAAATTAATTTGAAGAAATATCTTACTATCGCTATTTGCCCTTTCTCTATAATGGAAGTGTCAATGTAATTCACAATTGCCAATGACAGATTGAAACACATGCGTGTGATTGGTGCCAGCGAGAGCTTTATATGTATCGCACATGCACGAGTCAATTTAGTCTTTTATATATATAGAATAAACTTGCTTAATTAGACCTGCTTTCTTTTTTAGCTAAACTTTTTCCAGCCCAGTGAAGCACTCCAACTTGTCTTTCAGGTAATTGTCAGCAACACAGCAGTAAATATCAACACGAAGCAGATTATTATTGTAGATCACGCAGGAAGAACAAAGGGTAAAACATTTAACTGTAGCAGTGTTTGACTATATTCTGTGCAGTGAGAAAACCTGAAGTCATTTTCAAGGTCCACCATTTCTTACTTCTTTCCAGTTGGGTCAAGTTTCTAAGCTTTCTAAATCTCCATTTTCTGGCTAATGAAAAGAAAATAGGATTCCACCGAATCTCCTATCTACCTACTCCAGGAACTTCTGTGAGGATCAAATGAGATGAGGCACAGGAAAACGCTGAACAGACATTTGGCTAAAGTGTAAAATGTTTCAACTTGTGTTCTTGGGCTGAAGAAACTGCAAGGAGGCTAGTCGCTAGGGAGAGGAAGCTGGGCGTTGCTATGTGACATCATTACCTGGAGCCCAGAGTGACCGTTTCCAGGCTGGGCTGGGCTGTGGGCCACATTTTGCACCATGGGATCTTGGCAGCATTGGCTGCGATTTGGTGGGGTGTCGCTCTGGGGTGGTGATGGGGCCTGTGTCCCACTTGGGGGAAGCTGAGTGTTGGTTTGTTGGCGTCAGGTCCGTGGTGGCAGCCAGTGCACATCATGGCAGCTCCTGCATTGAGCGTCTGCTCCCTGGTGGTTAGTGCCCATTATAGCGACCAGTCGGATGGTCAGACACTTAGCAAATTAGCCTTTCATATATATAGATAAAAAAGAATAAAACCTTGCTATTCATGACAGCATGAATAGACCTAGAGCAGTGGTTCTCAACCTTCTGGCCCTTTAAATACAGTTCCTCATGTTGTGACCCAACCATAAAATTATTTTCGTTGTTACTTCATAACTGTAATGTTGCTACTGTTATGAATCGTAATGTAAATATCTGATATGCAGGATGGTCTTAGGCGACCCCTGTGAAAGGGTCGTTCGACCGCCAAAGGGGTCGCGACCCACAGGTTGAGAACCGCTGACCTAGAGGGTATTATGTGAAGTGAAGTAAGTCAGACAGAGAAAGATAAATATCTATGAACTCACTTATATGTGGAATCTAAAATAAAACCCCAAATAAATAAACCAAACAAAACAGAAACAGAGTCACAGACATAGAAAACAAGTTAATAGTTACCAAAGGGGAAGGGACAGAAAAAAATGAGATGGGCATGTACAGGATAGGGGATATAGTCAATAATATGGCAATAATCTTTTAAACAATCATAGATGGTTACTAGATTTAGCATAGTGATCACTTTGTTAGGTATATTAACCCTATATAATAAAAGGCTAACATGCAAATTGTCTCCTCTGGAGTTTGACCAGGAGACCGGGAGTTCAATCGCTTGCTATGATGTGCGCTGACCACCAAGGGGTGGTGCAGAACATGGCGAGTGACCAGTGGCAGCAGAGGGGCACTGAGGGCGCGAGAAAAGGAGGAGGTGGGGAGGCTGGGAGGCGGGGAACCTGATGGGCCCTGATCGCCAGCCAGGCCCAGGGACCCTACCCGTGCACGAATTTTGTGCACCGGGCCTCTAGTGTTGAATAACTATCTTGTATACCTGAAACTAATATAATAATGTATGTTAACTATATTTCAATGAAAATAAAATAATTAAAAAACAAAATGGGGCAAGTGATGGTTGGCTTACTCAGTTCTGTTGTCTCCTTCACATCTTACTTCTTTAAAGAGTTTAATATAAAGCACACCTTAAATATTGAGGTGTAACAATAATAAATTGCATCTATCATCTTAGTTTTCTCTGGAATAATTGCCTCTTAAATATGTTCCCTCATGTATGAAAAAATAATAATCTATCTCTATTTTTGAGTAGACTACTGGGTGATTGTTTCCTGTAGCTAAAAACTCTTTAGCTACATAAGCCCTGTGTGTGCTTAAATTCTTTATGTGGTTGTAATACTTTAATTGTGTTTGAAACACATGAGAGAATTGTATAATGAACCCCCATGGACCCATCAGCCCGCTTCAGTGATTATCCATATTTTGTCAATCTGCTTTCTTCTCTCCTGCTCCCTGCACATTTTTGGCAGAGAGGAATGCTGGAGTACTTTTAAGCAGGTCTCAGACTTCATATACTTTCTCTGTTAAATACTTTACTTTGTGTATCTAACAGAGAAGGCCCTTCCTTTGTTTAAAATATAGCAGCAATGTCATTGCACCCACAGAATTAATAGTAATGTAGGAGTTCCTTGAATTTTTGGTGAATTCAGAGTAGAAAGAGTATTGGGCTGAAGGAACTCTGGCCTGAGTTTACCCCCTTTCCTCCAGGAAAAAAAAAAGATGTAGAATTCATTGAGGAAGGGGCTTTGGATTTAAACTGGCACTTGTCCAATCCCTTATTTGACTTTCAGAAAGCAATTATGGGAAAGACGTGTCCAGAGCAATGCTGAATACCTACTGTGTACACCTCCATATGCATCATCTCCTTCAACCTACACACCAAAGCTGAGAAGTAGAAACCATGGCTCTAGGAGGAGCTTCCCAGATATAACCTCTGATTGGTCAAAATTAGAATATCACAGCATTACCCTGACTGCAGATGAATTAATAGGAGATTCCTATTTAGTGTTAGTGCACAGGCTACTTGGTTCGTGCCTTAATCTAACCAAATGTTTAACTGTTGTAGAAATAATAACCAGTTCATTCTTTGAGATTCCCTGGGAAACAGTTAAATGAGGATAATAATATCTCAGGCAGAGAGAGCATGAAAATGGCTTTTGCTTCCCAGCCCAGGCTAAGGGATTTCGCTTAATCTTCCCCTCTATCTACTCCCCCTTTCCCTAATGGATAGAATGCATATTATAGGGCTAGAGGACATTTGTAGGTTTGAATTTTTGTCTTGGAAACCTATAACCTTTTATTCAGTAAGGATCATATTTAAATAGCAAAATAAAGAAGTGCCTCCTTAAACATGCTTGGCCATGGGAAGAGGCCCCTTGAAGTATTCCAGAAAGAAAAAATGGAGGCAAATATGAGGGAGGCAAAAAGAAGGAAGGAAGGGAGGGAGAGAGGGAAGGAGGGAAAAAAGATCAAAGAACCTTCATAAATCTAGACTGATTTTATGACCCAGCTTGAGATGAACTCTGGTAACTTAAGTTGTGTTCAAAATATCCTTCTGGCCCTAACCGGTTTGGCTTAGTGGGTAGAGTGTCGGCCTGTGGACTGAAGGGTCCCAGGTTTGATTCTGATCAAGGGCATGTACCTTGGTTGCGAGCTCGATCCCCAGTAGGGGTCATGTAGGAGGTGGCTCCCTTCCTCTCTGTATAATCAATAAAATATATTTTTAAAAAATATCCTTCTGCAGACCCAAAGGAGTAAGCAGACACCTAAGTACCTCCCTTAGTAATGAATGAGACCATCCTAGCAGGTTAACTGGGAAGCTACTGAAGCTTAAACTTCAGGGCCCAATCCTTACACTGATCCCTCCCAAAACCTTGGGAGAAGCTCTAGAAAGGGCGTCCTGTGCTCACTGTATCAGCTTCAAACCACTCAAAACCCAGACCCATTCATGCATCTCAGGAATAGAGTTTTCAGAATCATGTGTTCATAACCAACTCTTGATTCTTGATAAGTCCCACATTTCCCTAGTAGTAGAGCTTTTTCCCTTTTAATTTCTCTTTGTAATTTGCAAGGATTTAACCTAATTTGTATTTCATTTATGCAGATGAAATTATGCAGCAGGAAATCAGGCCCTTGTTGGCAGTGGATATAATTGAACAACTTCACAGACAATTTGCCATTCTTTCAGGTAAGGGGCTAATTCATGTGTATTTCCAGGTTTTGTTGGTGGTTCTGCTCAGAGGGCCCAGCCTCTTGAATCTTAGTGAACATTATATTTGAGTCTCAGTCATCTCTTAAGCCTCACCCAGAATAGAATGAATGGGGGACCATCCAGCTGCATTATTTGATGTTTCTCAAGGGAGTACATTTCTTCGAATTTGTAAAAGAACAGAGCTGAAAAGATTTTGAGGAAGAAAAAGAAATAATTACTGATATCAGCTGCCACCATGATGTTCTGCTAAGATCCAACCTTAAGAGAGTCTTGGTTTTAAGGTTTCATTAATATTGCTGAGGTTGTTCTTTGAGAGATTTGTCTTGTATCTTTAGCTCTTAGGACCTAAGTTTAATATGTTGTTGTTGTTACTTTATTAAGCATTTGATGAGGAATAGAGAGAGGCTAGTATTGATAAAAGGCTAGAAGTTTTCTGAGCCTGGGCACAGCCCTGAAAAGTTGTCATTACTAGATTATTATTCTTTCTTATTCACTTAGCGAAGGGTGATATGACATTAATTACTGAAACTGGAAGTACATACCAAACCCTAAAATATAGTTAGACCAAACGTGGAAGCATGGGGTAGTGAGATTAGATGTTCTTAACACATATCCCAGAGGAATAAGGTAACAAGTCACTATCCTTATCTTTGAAAAAAAAATATATATATATATATTTTATTGATTTCAGAGAGGAAGGGAGAGGAAGAGAGTGATAGAAACATCAATGATGAGAGAGAATCATTGATTGGCTGCCTCCTGCATGCCCCCCACTGGGGATGGAGCCCACAGCCTGGGCATGTGCCCTGACTGGGAATTGAACCGTGACCTTCTGGTTCATAGGTTGACACTCAACCACTGAGCCACACCAGTCGGGCACTACCCTTATCTTTTATAGCTCATCTGAAAAAAGCAACAAAGCCATCTTAGTTATGTTGTAGAGAGAATATGTAGTTAGTGTGGATTTTACTCTACAACACAGGATGTAAAAAAAGTCACATTTCTTTCTTTTCCTAAATTATATTTAATCTGCTCTAAACTCCTTATTCTACTGAGTTTAAGGGAAATTTAAACTTTGTTTTTCAGGTATGTCTCCCACCCCAGAGTAGTATCCTAGGTGGGGACCTCTTATACATTCCAGAATACCTGGTGAATTCTCTGGTCTGTCCTTGACATTGGTCACTGCTCACATAGTCACTGGAAGCTCCATAAGTGCAGGACGATCATGTTTCTTATTTCTGCCTGCATTGCCAGTGCTTAGAACAGAGACTGAAACATATCAAAATTATCCAAGTCCTCCTGGTCTGTCCTGTGAAGCAGGACTGTCTGATTGTCGAATCCCTACTCTAGGCACTGCAGTCCTGGCCCTGGAGGGAGTGCCCAACCACCTTCCTGAGGGAGCCCTCTCATCGCCTCCCACAAGGAGCCTAGGATTGTGCAGCACCAAAGGCAGGATGGGAAGTGTCTCTGGGTTTCTGGCAACTGCTGCCATGGCCCTGCACCACAGAAGGCCCCTCGGCCACCGGTGTGCATCAAGGTCTGGAATGGATGATGGGGTGGGGCAGGGTGGATTCCTACAGCTTTACACCCAAACTCTAAAGCCTCAGTATATGAGTATATAATTACACAATGGCTCATCTGGGGAAGGAGTCCAGAGAATGATTAACTTATACGTTTAATGATCCAAAGTGATCTCTTTTGAGTATTATTGAGGCATTTCTTTCTTTTATTTCTTAGAGGCAGAATAGGAGAAACAAACTGGTACCCAACATCCCTAAATAGGGATTTAGATTCTGCTACTGACTAGCTGTATCACCTTAGGCAATTGGAAGGTGAGGGAAAGGGGTGAAGGTGGCTAAAAGGTACAAACTTTGTTATAGGTTCTGGAGATGCAATGTACAGCATGATGACTAATTAACAATACTGTACTGTATGTTTGAAAATTGCTAAGAGGGTAGATCTTAAAATCTCACCACAAGGAAAGAAGTTGTAACTGTGTGAGGTTATGGATGTAAACTAAACTTTTTGTGGTGATCATTTTGTAATATATACATATATCAAATTATTATGTTGTACACCTTACACTAATACAGTGCTGTCAATGATAGTTTAATAAAACTGGAAAAAATATAAAAAAACTTTGTGATTATATGGAAAGCAGAGTTAGAGTCTAAGATCAGATCACTATAAATGGATTTTTCACTTACATTGAGATTCTAGGAAAACATTCAGAAATCACATAGGGTGTGGGACAATTCTTGATTATGTAGGACAGATCATTTAGTATCCTAGGCCCCGAGATTTTCAAAGTGCCTCCCAGAGAGTGGGGCGGCCATTTTTTCCAGTTAAAATCTTCTTTTGGGAAAGAGAAAGGGAAAATAGATACTTGAAGGCAAAGAGCAGTAACTGCCTCCATGTCTCTCCCATTGTTGATCTTCACTGTCTTTCTATAGGATTTCCCAGCATTCCAAATTCTCTTCTGTATGATGAAGTTTTCGTGCCATTTAACGAACAGGTAAAATTTATACTAGGATGAGTGCCGTTTATTTTATTTAAGTAACCGTTTTACTCAGTTACAAGGTGTTTGGTTTTCACTTTCTTCCTTTGGTATTTCCACGTTTCCTCACCAGGTGGCACTGAATGCTTTGTTGTGGGCTGTCCATGCTGTAGGGAGGCTCAGCTTTGTTTCTTTAGTGCAGTGGTTCTCAACCTTCCTAATGCTGTGACCCTTTAGTACAGTTCCTCATGTTGCGGTGACCCCCAATTTCATTGTTACAAATTGAACATAATTAAAGCATAGTGATTAACCACAAAAACAATATGTAATTATATATGTGTTTTCTGATGGTCTTAGGCAACCCCTGTGAAAGGGTCGTTCGACCCCCAAAGGGGTCGTCGCGTCCCACAGGTTGAGAACCACTGCTTTAGTGCTTCTGTCTGTTAAGATGAATAATATTCAACAGCAGGAGGTGTCCTCAGTTGACCTGGGGAGGTGGTGGTGAGCCTCTCTTCTCTGGTGTTCAGTGTTGCTGTTAACCAATATACAAGAAAACTCCACCTACCTTTCTCCATTTAGGTGTGAATAGCTTTAATTCATAATTAACGATAAAAAGTGAAGTCATTACACCACTTAATGACTTCACTTTTTGGTCCCCTGGAATGTTTTAGCCATTCTTTTGGCAAATATTGGTTATACAGTTCATACAGTGTTATAATGCATCTAAATGTAGCCTTACGAGAAATGCAGATTCTCTTAACTTTGGTTTCTCTAGAACCTCCTTTGATTGTGAAACTGCAAAGAGGAAGAATGTTAGGTGAAAGCTGGTACTACCCTGATCTAAATTGTTTTCAGTCACCATAAAGAGGTAGCTCCCTCTCCTGGTCAAAGCTTGATATTTTGTGTAAACTTTCAAAGAAGCATACAGGATTGATAAAGAGGGACTTCCCGGAGAAGAATGACTAGCCACCCAGACAAATCTCACACGTTTCACTCCTTAGTGATGTATCTCCGACAGCGCAAGACTCACTCACAGAAATAAAACTCACAAGAGACTTGTGTAACCACATTGCTGACTTTCTCTTTCTGTGATACAAATAGTCATGTTTGCTCAATAGCGCATTCTCTCCCTTGAAGCAGATTTAAATGGAATGTTAGAGTGTAAGCAAAAGATGCTTATCAGGCGTGGACTCGGAGCAGCAGGTGGGTTCATGTAATGGTGGAGCCATCATGTAGACTGCCCCTCCTTCGTTTCTCTTAGTCTCTCGATTTCTATAATTTCTTCATTGATCCCACACCCACGTTAATCACACAATCCTCACTAACCACACCCTGCACTGATACCTGTTTCTTAGACATGTGAAATTCAAGCAATTGTTTTATTTAAGTAACCATTTTAACTCAACAGAAACAGAACACAGATTGGCGATTGCCAGAGGTGGGGTTGGGAGGTGAGGGAAAGGGGTGAAGGTGGCTAAAAGGTACAAACTTTTGTACCTTTTGTACGTTGGTAGCAGTTGGCTATGCTTGGGAGCCATTATTCCTCTTAATGTGGTTCCCCTGCAGGGGCTTAGCCTGGAAGGCACTCACAGTGCTTCTGCTCACCCCCGTGGCTGGGGCACAGGTTTCCCATTGTCTCCGTTCTCAGTTCCTTCGTATCTCAGTAATTTTTTGTTTGTTTGTTAGAACAACTAACTCAGCAAAATAAAATTCCCATTTATTGTTGGACAACATTGTTTCACACATACATCAAACAGGCTAACAAAAGACCAAAAAACAGCAACTTCATAAACAAAACAATAAAAAAAGGGAAAAAATGAAACCTTTTTATCTTTGGCCTTTTTAACCATCTCCTACAAAGCAACTACTTATAGTACAGCTAAGTACATGCACAAAAAGTTACCGGAATGGTCAGAATAAGATTGTTTTTTGTTGTTGTTTTTCCTTTTTTTTACAAGGTTATTTTTTTCCTCCTCTGAGATTATAATGAACATAGTGACACCACAAGTAAAGTCAAAAGTAGGACAGAGAATGCTCCAAAGGCTGGTTTGGTCATCCCAAGATCATTAAAAATGGCCGATCCCTGCCAATAGGTACAAAAATATAAAATGTAAATAAAAAATGCAAACAAACTTTCCTTTATAAAATAATTTTAAGAAAAAAAGCAGCCCTGACCGGTTTGGCTCAGTGGATAGAGTGTCAGCCTGTGGATTGAAGGGCCCCAGGTTCGATTCCAGTCAAGGGCATGTACCTTGGTTGTGGGCACATCTCCAGTGGGGGGTGTGCAGGAGGCAGCTGATCGATGTTTCTGACTCTCTATGCCTCTCCCTTCCTGTCTGTAAAAAATCAATAAAATATGTTAAAAAAAAGACAAGAAAAGAAAAAAAGCAGGGCCTTGGAAGTTTTTGGTTCTTTTCTCCTCCCCTATTGCAAATTCACGTTGTGGTTTTGGTTGGGTGGTAGTGAGTGCGTGCCATCTGAAGGTGGCAGTGCCCCAGGTAGGTGAAGTCTCTCCGAAGGTGACCACCTTTGGGTTCTGAGACAGGAAGTGGAGGGTGAATATATCACGAAGGCCTTTTTTTAAATGTTTGACTTTTCCTCTTTTGCTGTCTAGACATCCTCATCGGTCTTCTGCTTCTTGGTGTCAACATCGTCATCCTCAGCTGCCCGTTTGCCTGTGGCAGCCTCAGCCTCCTCATCTTCATGTCCATCCTCTTCCTCACCATCACCTTCCTCTTCCTCCTCCTCCCCTCCTTCTTCCTCTTCTTCGTCTACCTCATTGTCAGCCTCCTGCTCCCCATGTTCCTCAATAGCGTTCCCATTCGCAGGTGCATCTCTTCCATTCTCTGCCTCCTCACAACGTCCTTCTTCTCCTTTAAGTCCTTGGTGGTGATCTCAGAGCTGGTGTCCTCAGCCGTGTCTGACATGTGGGACACGACGGTGATCCGATGTAGCGGATTTTTTTTTTTTTTAAAGCGAGAGATGGAGGACTCTGGCAAAGAGCCAGGCAGCCACAGGAACAATGCAAAGATGGCTTTTCAGAGCAGCCGGTCTCAGGAATTTTTTACAGCCCTTTTTGTCCAAAACCAATACCGAGCAGTTAAAACAACTTAAGTCTACACATTTTAACAACTTAGTAGCTGTCTTATAAATAATACTAAGAATTTCATTCTTATAAATATTTATAAATAATATTATAAATGTCTAACAAATATTTATAAATAATACTAAGAATTTCATTCTTTGGTAGCTACAGTGCTCTTCAACCTTGGAATCAAACTAGACATCACCAGCCTCCCTTCCTGTTCTTCACTCACTTTCATCCTGCACTTGCTTTTATCCCAGCAGCCACCCAAACCCACCTTCACAAAGATACAATGCTAGTCAAAAGAATTTAGTGTGATTTAATGTTGAAACTGTGAACTATCTCAAGCTAATACCATGCAGAGCAGGTGACAGATGCCAACTATTGCTTTTCCCCTAAAAATTTAAACTATTCATGGTGCCTCTTTGAGTTCACTGTGGTTCCCTGGGTGCCTGACACAGGAACCATGAAGCTAGAATTTAGTCATGTGGCTACATCTAGCTGCTAGGAGATGGGGAAATATAATCTATTTGATTTAACCTGGTGGCCTCTGCTCCAGTGAGCTAAATATTTAAATGTTAATTGTACATTTTTATTCTCACAGGGATGTCTTATACCCCTGTTTATAAATTATCAAAGTGCCGGCAGCTTATTGTGCCTCCATTGACAGTAATAACCATGATGCTCACTATTTAGTGAGTACCTATATGCAGCAAGCACTCTGCTAAGGTGCTTTCCTTATGTTTTCACTTAATTCTCACAACACCTTTTGAGGTAGGTGCAAGTATTACATATATATATCCTACTTAGGTTAAGTGTCTTGCCTAAAATCACATAGAAATTAAGTGGCAAAGCAGGATTTCAACCAGGTTACTGATTTTAGAGTTAACTCTCCTAATTACCATTTTAACTTTTTAATTTAGTGACTACAAAAATGAACAGAAGCATTATGTATTTGTGGCGTTCTTTACTATTCTACCCATGTTAAATAATTAAGTCGGTATTACCTTTTATACAGTATCTATCTTCAAAGGATTCAAAAATCAAATTCTCACAATACCACTGAGCAAGCATGAAGGAGGAGAGACTTGTTTAAAATAGTTCAGTGTCCGCCTTCCCACATTCTACTCTGAAGTAACATAGATAGAAAAGGGGAAGCCAATACTCATCTCCTGCCTTGATATTAGTCACAGACTTTTATCTGCAGAGGCGTGACATGAAAACGTTGTGCTAACATCTTGACCACCCACTTTTGTTGCAGGAGGCCGAGGGAAAGATGGCGCCCCCATCATCACTTTCCCAGAGTTTGTGGGCTTCAAACACATCTCAGATGAGGACTTTCTGAATGTCATGACCTACCTGACTAGCATCCCCAGGTGAGCTGGACACAGTGTTCTGTTGCCTTCTTAGTCACTGGCTTTATTCCACATTCCCCATGTGGCAGGGCTGGGTTGAGATGGAATCTTCCATGAACACAGCTCACACTGGTAGAGTGTACCATTTCTCTTATCCATCAGTCACAGACAAGGGATGTGGAATGAGAGTAGAAAACAATGATAAGTGAGTATCAGTTCTGTTCATACAGTGCACGTAAGAGGTACTTAATAAACATTGCTGAGTGAATGAAATATTGATGGAACAACCCTGGCTGGAGTGCCTCCATTGGTTGACCATCGTCCCATGCACCAAGAGGTTGCTGGTTCGATTCCCAGTCAGGGCATATGCCCAGGTTGCGGGCTTGATCCCCAGTAGAGTAGGGGGCATGCAGGAGGTAGCCGATAGATGATTCTCTCTCATCAGTGTTTTTCTCCCTTTCTCCCTCTCCTTTTTCTCTCTCTCAACTCAATAAAAACATATTAAAAAAAAGGTATTGATGAACCACTGAAGCTGTCTTTGTTCCTTCAGGTTCATTGCTCTAGATCAGTGGTTCTCAACCTTCCTAATTCCACGACCCTTTAATACAGTTCCTCATGTTGTGGTGACCCCCAACCATAAAATTATTTTTGTTGCTACTTCATAACTGTAACTTTGCTATTGTTATGAATCTTAATGTAAATATCTGATATGCAGGATATATTTTCATTGTTACAAATTGAACATAATTAAAGCATAGTGATTAATCACAAAAACAATATGTAATTACATATGTGTTTTCCGATGGTCTTAGGCGACCCCTGTGAAAGGGTCGTTTGACCCCCAAAGGGGTCGAGACCCACAGGTTGAGAACTGCTGCTCTAGATTAAGTTGATTCTGGCTTCCTGGGGCCTGTTATCTGGGATACATGGCCATTGCTCAAAGAGCTCAAGCCATGTTAGGAGTTATTTCATTTATCTCCACTAAATAAGGTATTTAGGGGCAAATTTTATAATTGTCATTGTCAGATGGAGAAACAGAGGCATGCAGCAAGGAAATGGAAAGGCCAGCAATAAAAACTGTGTTATAGCGGAGATGTTTGGGGGCATCTGCTACTTCCACCCTCTGCAACCCACATCACACTTTTTTTTTTTTGGCTTAAGTAGCAGAAATTTATTATCTCATTGTTCTGGAAGCTACAAGTCCAAAATCAAGGTGTTGGTGAGGTTGGTTCCTTCTGAGGCTGTGAGAGCAGAATCTGTCCCGGGCCTGTCTCCTGGGCTTGCAGGTGGCTTCCACTTCTGTCTCCTCACTTTGCCATCCCTCTTTGTGTGTCCTTGTGTCCAAATCCCCCCTTTTTATAAGGACACCAATCTTACTGGATTAGGGCCCACCCTAATGACTTCATGTTAACTGGATGAGCACTGTAAAGACCCTATCTCCAAATAAGGTCACATTTTGAGGCACTGGCGGAAACACAACTTAGTCCACAAAAGGAACATAGCAGGTCTCACATCTTTATGCCAAGTGAGTTAATATGCCTCTAAGGGATAGAGTGTGGGACAGAGTTCATATTGCTAACAATCATTTTACAGGCAGAGATAGAGTTGGGAATTCTTAGATAGTGCTGTGTCTCTTCCCCAGAAGAGCAGACTGGCCCCACTCTCCGTGGGTTTGCATGGCTTATGATATAATCTCTTACTTAACTGCTGTGTGGTTTGGAATTTAGACAACAGTGCTCTCTCTCTCTCCCCCTCCCTCCCTCTCTCTCTCTCCCGCCCTCCTACCCTCCCTTTCTGTGTGTGTGTGTGTGTGTGTGTGTGTGTGTGTGTGTGTGTGTGTGCGCGTTATTGCACTTGCTTTCCATCTGCTGCCTGAGATTTAGAGGTCAGTGCCAGCCTAGTGATTGAAAGGCCACCAGAGATTAGGAAGTTGCTTAGTTTGCTTTAACCAAATCGACTCCAAAGACTATTTTTGTTTTTTTACCCTTCTTACTTTTTGAGAGGAGGCTATGGGTTTATTTTTAATGCACTTCTTCAAAGTTCATTACTTAAATTCTATTTCACCATTTCTCTCCCTTTCCTCCTCCCATCCCCACATATGGTGTCCATTAGGACACGGCTTGGCTGGTGCTGTTCTCTCTGTAGGAATGCCTTTCCCATCCTTCTAGGACTGGCTTAACTCCTACTCATTCGTCAAACCTCAGTCTGATGTCATTTCTTCAAGGAAACCGTCCCTGACCCCAACCCTGCTCACCCAGACGTTTTATTTCCACAGAACCCAAAGCTTACCCCTTGTAAACACCATAGTAGATGGAAATGATTTCTACCTCTCCCATTAGACTGTGAACTACTCAAGATGGGGGGAGTGGGCAATGTTTCTTTTTTTCTTTTCTTTTTTTAATCTGTAGCCCTAGCATAGTGCCCAGCACATAGTAGGTTCTCAAGAAGTAATGTTGGTCAAATTTCCAGTATGATATGATTCATTTCAATCTAAAACTATTTTTATGGGGCGAGAAGGTGGACACTGACAGAGAAAGAAGAACCCCATTTCCTCACTCCTGCATTGACCGCCAGGGTTATAGGGAGTTGAACTTGGTCTCCCTCCTTGGCTCAGTTGCATCCAAAACAATCACCCATCAGCTTAGTACTTTCTCCTTCTGTGGGGAGCAGTAAAGAAGAGAGCAGGGAGGTGGGCAGCAGGTACACATGGCCCTCAATTATATTTATTTCAATCTCACTGTCTAATTTTACGGAATCCCTGGATGTAGTCATGTGCTAAATGAAGCGGGTGACTCTCATTTTGTACTTGCAGCTCTTTGGAGTCACACGGAGGACTGTACATTGGATGCCAACTGAACCAGGGTAGAGAGAAGCATCGAGGGGTAGAAAGCCTTATCTCACAGATGTAGACGATAAGACAAAACAAGGGGCTACTTTTTGGCCCTGATTTCTTTGTTCTGCTCTATGTTCCTTATATAATTGCTAGTAAACTTGGGAGTATTTTTCTTTCCTGGAATGCTGTTTGTCTCTTAAGAGTGCCCACTTGACCAGTCATTCCCCTTTCCTCTTCCTAGCATTTGCTCAGACTGTCTCGCTGCCTCACCCTTTGGTTTCAACATAAAACAGAGACAAGGGGGAAAGCCTGAAAGGGGAATTTGACCTTATTGTCCAGTTTCCATTTCAGGTTCCTATTTATCAAAATTCATAATTTCTTCAGTGTGACAGTGGTTACCAGGCATCAGAGCCCTGCCCAGTTGCAAAATCTTTATGGGCAGTTGGCAGAGGGTTCATGACACAGAACCAGGAAGAACTGGTACAGTCAAAGAAGAGAAGGACAAGATGCGCAGGACAAGGAACAGTGTTCAGATATTACTTAGATCTAGTGCTTTCCTCTTCTCTATCTTATTCATTTCTCCCTTTATCTTTAATATCTTCTTTCTTGCACTTTCTTTCAGTTTGCTTAATTTTTGTCATTTTTTTTGAGTTGAAAATTATATTTTCATTTTTATTTTATTGATATAAATGTTTAAGGTTATGAATTTTCTCTGATCTCTGCCTGTATGTAATTGTTTGGAGAGCTATGTTATAGTATGTGTTTGTTTGTTTGCTTAATTACTAATTTTTTGGAGGAATTTTCATTATCTAAAATGTTTTTATAAAATAGACTTTTTTTGAGCAGTTTTAAGTTCACAGCAAAATTGAGTGGAAAGTTCAGAAATTTCCCATCTATTCCTTATCTCCCAAGGCAAACCTCCCTCACCATTAACATCCATTCCAGAGTGGTACATTGTTACAACTGATGTACCTACATCGACACACAAAGTCTATAGTTTATATTGGTGTTCACTCTTGATATTGTACACTAGAGGCCTGGTGCACGAATTCATGCACGGATGGGGTCCAGCTGGCCTGCCCTGATTGGGGCCCATTGGGCTAGGGCAGGGGATGGGGGGGCCGCGGGCGGTTGGTGGGCTGGCCTCGCCCCCTGGTTGAACTCCTGGTCGAGGGAACAATTTGCATATTAGCCTTTTATTTATAGGACTAGAGGCCCTGTGCATGAAAATTCATGCACTGGAGGGAGGGTCCCTCAGCTTGGCCTGCCCCCTCTCACAGTCCAGGAGCCCTCAGGGGCTGGAGACGACCCGGCGATCAGGGGAAGGTGATGCCCCCATCACACCTCTGCTGCTGCCACTGCCAGCAGCGTAAGCTTTGGCCAGCCCTGGTTACCTGAGTCTTGGGTGACCCTGGGTGGCTGGGGAGCCGCAGCACAAGCCTTGGCCGGCCCTGGTTACCTGAGCCTCGGGAGGCCCTGGGTGGCTGGGGGGCTGAGGGAACTGGGGGGCTCCAGAGACAGGCGTGCCTGCCACCCCGGCGGGGCTGAGGGAACTGGGCGCCACCATCTTGTAGCCGAGGGTGCCGTCATCTTTGAGGGTGGGGCAGTCAATTAGCATATTCCCTCCTTATTGGCTGTGGGCACCATCATCTATGTGACGGTGTGAGGGTCAATTAGCATATTCCCTTTTTATTAGGACACTATGAGTTTGGACAAAAGTAAATGACATGTATATACCATTATAATATATACAGAATAGTTTCACTGCCCTAAACATTCTCTGTGCTCTGCCTGTTCATCCCTCCCACCTCCCCAACCTTTGGCAACCACTGATCCTTTTGCTGTCTTCATAGTTTTTTTGTTGTTTCCAGAATGGTATATAATTGGGATCATACAGTATATAGCCTTTTAAGATTGACTTCTTGTTCATAAACTCAGACCCAGGGAAAAGTTCTGAGACTGAAAAATCTACTCCATATGTGGAGGGCAGGAAAAGACTGAAGAAAATGTCAGGCTACTCCAGCCTGGCAATTAATAGAGTTTATTGAGGAAACTGAAATATGAGGTGTGTCTCGAGCAGTGGGGACTCGAAGTCACTATATAGAATTAGAGACCCATGGAATGACAAAGCTGAAAGGAGTGATTGAGACAAACTTGTGCCAGCCCACCATTTTGCCAATGAAGATGCCAAGAGATGCTGAAAAACTGGAAAGCATCATGAATTCTTTACTTCTGAATTTAGAATAGTATTAAAAACAAACAAATAATAAACCATAGGTCAATCATTTTTTACTCCTATATCAGGAACAACCTTGAGCACTGCTCTTCAAAAGAGTAACTGTCAATAAACATGAATGATCCTAAAGAGTAGTTTGATTTCCTTCCCTAAGAAGCCCCATAAGCAGTATGCCAATGACCATCATATTAGTGTTTGGAATTAGGTATTTGAATTATGGTTCCCAATTGTGTTGGTTTTCCTTATTAGCACTGAAAGTTCTGTGTCCCAAGAAACTCCTCAGTCCTGGATGAACTGGGATGGTTGGTTGCCCTACGTTGGACTCAGTTCTTATTTCACAGCTTGACAGTTCTTTTTTTCACAACTTGAATTTATTGGATTCTTTCAGTTTTTAAACTGAGTTATAATTTGCATATAGTAAAGTATACAGATCTCAACTATATATATATTTACCTGTTTACATACCATGTAGTTAATAAAAATACCACATTCACCATGAAACTTTTCCGTTATTTTGGAGTCAGAACACATTTAGCTCTTTCTTTTGTGTACAGTCTGCTGTTAAACAAATCTGCGTTCTTAATTTCAGGTATTGATGTTTTGTAATTACAGAAGGTCCACTTGATTCTTTATTATAGATTTTAATTATGCTCTGTTGAAATAATGCAGCTTTTAATCCACTTTGTGTATCCACCAATATGGCATATTGATCATAGTTATTTTGAAGTTTTTGTCTGCCAACTACTAAAACATATTTGAGACAGTATCTATTGACTATTTTATCTCTTGATTATTGGTTACTTTTCCCTGCTGCTTTGCAGTTCCATTCATTTTTTTATTTTATGCTGGATATGGTGGATGATATGTTATGCTACTTACAAATAATATTAGATCTTGATTTGCCAGGCAGTTAAATTACTGGTGGATCACCTTGATCTTTCTGGGGTCTGGTTTTAGGTTTTCTTAGGGCAACTCCAAAACTTCTGTTTTTTAAAAAAAATATTTTTTATTGATTTTTTACAGAGAGGAAGGGAGAAGGATAGAGAATTAGAAACATCCATGAGAGAGAAACATTGATCCAGCTGCCTCCTGCACACTCCCTACTGGGGATGTGCCCGCAACCAAGGTACATGCCCTTGACCGGAATCGAACCTGGGACTCTTCAGTCGACAGGCTGACGCTCTATCCACTGAGCCAAACCGGTTAGGGCCAAAATTTCTGTTTTGTCCTTACTCCTAGAGTATAGCCTTAATCCTATGGCAACTCTGATGGTGTTTCATTTATGCTAGAATGTGGCCTTTATAAGAGTTTCACCTGAATAAATAGGGTGTTCATCAAAGTCTGTCTCTTCTGGCTGGGCCTAAACACCAGTTGTCTATCTCCAGAATGTGCACGTTTCAGAATTTCTCATCAGTTCTCACATGTGCAGTAGCTATTCTCTGCCAGCCTCCTGGAGTGTCACCTAAACTTGCTGGGCACAGGTCACAAGCATTAAAGTGGAATGTCCATAAAGACTTCTGGGGTTCCCTCTCTGAGGTTTTTCTTCTTGACAACCACCCCCCTCAAATCCTCGCCACTTTTCCATTCATAATCTCCAATCTCTCCCTCTCCCACCCTGTGAGTCCACCCCTCCTGGAAAATGTTCTCAATAAGAAAGGCTGGGTCAGTATGGGGCTGTGGTAATGGGCTGGCCTAGTGATGCTTACTTCAGATAAGTACTTACATTTTCTTACAGATTTTGCTTAGATCTTCTGCCTTATTCACCTACAGAAACTTTTTAGAGCAAAGCTCACCTTTTCCCAGTATTAGAGAATTATTGAAGGCTTATTATAGGTCAGATACTTTTTGTATACTTTATGTCTTATATTCTCCATAACAAGCACATAAGAAATAGTAATAATAGTACTCATACAGTATTACCAAATGCCAGGCATTGTTCTGAGCATTTTATACATCTCATTTAATATTTTACATATTCACTTAATCCTCACATCAACCCTATAGATAGGTACTATTATTGTTTTACAAATGAGGAGTCTGAGAAGCTATAAAGACTAAGTAATGTCCCCTCCAAAATACACAGTCTATAAATGGGAGAAGCCCAGGTTTCAAACCGTGGCAGTCTGGCTTCATAAAATGTGCTTTCAACCACTTCACTCTTGGTGGTGGTGGTCTCATTTTACAGATAAGGAAACTTAGAGGTTAAGTGATCTCCCCAGCGTCTCATTGCCAGTAAGTGGCAGCACTGGGATTGGAACCAGGCCCCAAAGCCTTTGCTCTTTCCTCTCTACTTCCTCCCAAAGAGAGAAAAAAAGTAAGTTTTCTCTTATAGTACTTTAGTTTAAAAGGATTTTGTGAGAATATTGTGGGGGTCTTAAGAGGAGACCAGGCAGCTTCCTTTTAGTCTTAATGAAGATATCTTCTCACGCACATGGTTTGCTGGCCGTTTATGGCCAGGCACTGGGAGGGAGTTGTTTTTCCCATTGGCCCGTGTTATTTCTGAGCACCTCTCGAATGACTCCTAGGGAGGACATTGACAGCTCCCTGAATGCCAGTCTTGGGAGTGGGGAGATGGCAGAGCTCCGCCTTGAGGTCCTCTGCCTATACTGGGACATGTGGTATTCAACTGACACTTGCATCTTCTTTCAGGCATGAGCATGTGTGCTCTTGGGTGTTTCATACTTTGCCAGCCAGAAACAGAGAGGGTTTGAGACACCAGCTATCTCTGTGCTGTTTAGGCTGCCAGCTGGGATGAGGAGATGGTTCCTTTGTCAGGGAAGCCAGACCCAGTTATTCCCTTGTGCCATGCAGGGCGTTTACACATGATCCTGGAGCGCCATGGAGGCTGTAGACTGCATCCCCTGAGGAACCGCCTAGAACCCGTGTGTCTCACCTGGTCCCTGACACTGACCACCCTCTTTTGCAGTGTGGAGGCTGCCGGCATCGGGTTCGTCATTGTTATCGACAGACGAAGGGACAAGTGGAGCTCCATAAAAGCATCCTTGACACGAATAGCTGTAAATATTTATTTTTGTGCTTTTTTTTAAATAAAAGTAATTTACATATTCTATTCAAATTATTTCATATCAAAGTCACAGGGAAAAGGTGATTATTTTATGCCAAATTTTGGGAAGGTCTTTGTTATGTCACACCCATATCCTCTCTGCCACCTGAAGGTCACTGCAGATAATTCCTTTCCATGTCAGAGGCTTCCTGAGTCTCTCTACTTTACCTCTTTCTATGGTCATTGGAGAGGGGTAGGTAGAGAATGCTGGGAAGTTAATGCCCCAGGAGTGACCTACAGCTATTGAGTCATAGAAGTTGGTGGATAAATACCCCAGCTTCAGTGGGACACTTCTGAGGGATATTCCATATAGCATCTCAGAGGCCCCCAGCCCTTCAAAAAAAACAATAACAAAAAACCACACAAACAAAAACCACACAAAGTTTTATTGATTTTTAGAGAGAGAGAGGTAGAGAGACGGACTGAGAGAGAGAAACATCGATATGAGAGCAGAACATCGATCTTCTGCCTCCTGCAACCCAGGCGTATGCCCTGACCTGGAATTGAACCGGCAACCTTTTGGTGCATAGGGATGACACTCAACCAACTGAGCCACACCAGCCAGGGCCTCCCAGCCTTCTTGCCCACAGCAGATGTATTGGCTCTTTGAACCGGCAACCTCTTGGTGCATGGGGATGACACTCAACCAACTGAGCCACACCAGCCAGGGCCTCCCAGCCTTCTTGCCCACAGCAGTCCCTGTTTTGATGTATTGGCTCTCTAGCCATCACTGGCTCGCCCCCGCTCCCCAACTTCCTCATGTGCTGCCTGGGATCACCTCCTCAATAAACTCTTTATACAGAAATCCTGTCTTAGAGTTTACTTTGGGGGCCACCCACTTTAAAACAGTCTTCTTTTCAGTATTCAAATTATTTTTTCACATATTAGAAAGACACAGGCTAAGCCAGACAAAATGATATTTAGGTAGCTTGATTGAAGGTGTACTTATTTTTGGCATTAAATTGTGCAACCTTGGATGAGCTTCCTTTTTTATCTTATTAGCCTGATTTTTATCCCTGTTTGTTGCCTTTTATCAAGTAGATGTATCCTTTCTCTGTAGGGACCTCAGACCAGAGAACTCAGTCACATGGGCAGGCAGACACCACAGGGCAAACCATACCAGCATTTCCACCAAAGCATGGACTCCCTGGGGCAGTCAGGACTGGCTGAGGAGGATGGGATATGGCAGGGTGGTAATGTGTGTACAGAGGCCCAGACAGGAGAGGGACATTTGAAGTCTCACTTATGCCTCCTTGCAGAGGCAGTCACACACACAGATCTGCACGCATACAGCATTTCCCTCAGATTGCTGTAGAGCCTCAGCCACACACAAGGAGTGTCTCCGCTCATTTCCTGCTGTGACATAACAAAACACAAGGTCCTGTTTAGGACGTTGCATTTCAAACATGGGAGAAGGGAAGTCTCCCTTCCTTTGTGCATGGATTGTTTGGCCTCGTTGGTTTAGTTTTGGTTACAGGACTTTTTGGGGAGGTAACTACAACGATGGTTGATGACCAGAGGATTTGGACACTTGACAGCGCCCATGACTATTCCAGAGGTCTGACCTCTGAGGAGTTCTGATTTCCCAGGGTCCATAGGAGACACTTGAATCATCTAATACAGTGGTTCTCAACCTTGGCTGCACATTAGAATCATCTGGGAATCTTTTTAAAATCCTGATTTCTGGGCCTCATCCTCCGGAAATTCTGTTTCTTTGTTATGGGGTGAGGCCACAACATTAGTAACAACAAAGAAACAGAATTTCTGGAGGATGGGGCCAGGAAATCAGGATTTTAAAAAGATTCCCAGGTGATTCTAATGTGCAGCCAGGGTTGAGAACCACTGATCTAATACTTGAGACTAATTTGTCCAAGAATCACATCGATCACTGTATGCATAAAAGATACCGTAGTGCAGGATCCCTGGCTACCAATCAGAATCTCTTCATGTACTTACTGAAAATACAGATACCTGGACTTCATTTAAGTCCTAATGAATCAGAACATTCCAGGGCAAAGACCAGATACTTTTTTCTAACAAGCACCATGGGAGGTTGCTTTTGGGAACCACTGGAAGAATAGAAAGCCACAAGGAAAGGAAGAGTTAGATTCCTAACTTGGCCACTAAGTTGTTCGATGAATCTGAGTTACCTCATTTTTCAGGACCTCAGCTCAAGATGAAGACAATGCTTCCTGAAAGCAACATGGCAATAACATGCATCAAGAACCCTAAAATACTAAGCCTTTTACTCAGTAATTCTTCCAGGAAGCTATCTTAAGAACATGTTCCAAAATATGGATAAAGGTGTTCATTTCAAGTGTTATTTCAATAGCAAAAATATGGACAAGCCTATATCACTAGCAATAAGGAATAGTTAAATAAATTGTGCACCCATGAAAAATATTTCTAAATAATTTTTAATATCAAGCATAAAAGCTCATGGTATTAATATTTAATGAAAAGGGTAGGTTACAAAATATTTCTATAATATGAGCTTAACCATGATAAAAATGTTTAAGCAGAGAAAATAGCTTATAAGTAATTCAGTTAAAATATTAAAAATGGCCATGAGATCATAAGTGGTTTTCTTTTTCTAATGTATAATTTTATTTCCCAACTTTTCAATAAAGAGTATGAATTGTTTTAATAATCAGAAACATTTTTTGTGTGTTTGATTTAGTTTGGTTTTTATGGAGTGGTTTGGATTATCTGATCTCTAAGATCTCTTTAGCTCTGAAATGTGAAATATATTCAAATTCTTTGGCATCCATGGTGTCCACCTTAACTTTGTCATTTGTGATCTTAGGCAAGAGGAGTCCAATGAATGTGATATTTACCCTGACACTTTTCATGACCCTTCCAGGTAGCATTTCCTGGAAACTTGCAGCTCATATTCATCCTTCGTCCATCTCGCTTTATCCAGAGGACAATCACTGACATTGGAATTAAATACTATCAAGATGAATTTAAAATGAAAGTACCGGTGAGCATGACCTTTTATCTTGTCTTCATTTAGTTGGGGCAAGTGGAAAAGATGGCACTGGAGCTGTTTTTTAAAAAATATATATTTTTATTGATTTCAGAGAGGAAGGGAGAGGGAGAGAGAGATAGAAATATCAATGAGGAGAGAGAATCGTTGATTGGCTGCCTCCTACAGGCCCCACATTGAGCATGGAGCCCATAACCTGGGCATGTGCCCTGACCGGGAATTGAACTTTGACCTCCTGGTTCATAGGTCTTCACTCAACTCCTCAGCTACGCTGGCCAGGCTGGAGCTGGGTGTTTAAGAAGGTAGGACTCTACAGGTAGAGAGGGAGAGAAGGACATCTGGGCAGAGGAAGCAGTGTGTGTAAGGACTTGGAGGAAGGAAGTACACTTCCTTTATGTGAAGTTCAGGGGGGAACCCCTTGTTGTAATATATATATAGGATAGTCTTTTGAAAGAAAAGGTAGAATAAATGAAATAGGTCTTACATATAAGGATAAGGGTCTGGATTTTATTCAGTAGACAATGGGGATCCAGTGAAGGGTTTTGAGTTGAGGAGTGACTTAGGTCAGTGATGGCGAACCTTTTGAGCTTCGCGTGTCAGCATTTTGAAAAACCCTAACTTAACTCTGGTGCCATGTCACATATAGAAATTTTTTGATATTTGCAACCATAGTAAAACAAAGACTTATATTTTTGATATTTATTTTATATATTTAAATGCCATTTAACAAAGAAAAATCAACCAAAAAAATGAGTTCGCGTGTCACCTCTGACACGCGTCTCATAGGTTCGCCATCACTGACTTAGGTAAATGGTACTGGAGTCACATAACTCTGAAGGTGGGTGTCCAAGACTGTAGAAGGAAATCAAAGGATGGAGAGAAATTGTAGTAGTATGGGTGAAAGAAAATAAGGATCTAAGATATGGGGGTGACATAAATATAGGCAGCTCTAGAGTGAAAATAAAAACCAAGATGTACTTATAAAAGGAAATCAAACTAAAGATTTTACCTATAACTTTGGTAGAGATGTGGGGATAAGAGCCCTTTCATACTTTGCTGATAGAAATGAAGTTGGTAATAACAGATATGAAGGACTAATTGGCAGTATTTATCAAAAATTACAATGTAAACACTCTTTGACCTACCTATAAAAGTTATTCTACAGATACTTTCATACATGTGCTCAAAGCTACAGATACAAAGATGTTCATTACCAAATTGTTTGTAATAGTAAGTAATTGGAAACAGCTTAATGCCAAACAACAGGGAATGATTAAATAAAGTATAGCCTACCCAATTGGTTAAATACTTTGCAGCTATTGGAAGTGGTAAGGTATGGTACAAGCACAGTGGAAACATTTGGCAGTTCCTTATAAAGTTAAACATATACTTCACTTATGACTCACCCAAGAGAAATGAAAACATGCTTACAAAAAAGCATGTACAAGAATGTCCATTAGCAGGTGAATGAGTAAAGAAATTGTGACATAGAAA